ATTTTGTTGGAAAAATATGACAAATAGTTTTGGTGAAACCGGTAGAAACTGGTAATTAAATTGAAAATCGATAAACCGAAATTGTAAACTAATTACTTAATTGGTTGGGTAATCAGTTTTATCCAAAATTGATAAAATCGAAATCAACTAAAACCGGTTAACCGAGAAACTGGTTAACCATCTGTTGGTTGAACACTCCTATGTACAATATAGTTGATGCCAGAAATTACTACTTTATACTAGGCTTTTCTCGTCGCGCGTTGCGCGACCAGTGCATATATTAATTTAATTACAAGTTTTCTTTAAGATAATTTGTAATATACTATATTTGTTCTAAATGATTTGTTATATAATTAGCATTTTGAGTAACTTGTCAAGCAAATCACCCAGCGGTTGAAAAAGTTTTGTAAGTGCTCAGAAATTTGTTATTTTGAACATTTTTCTTATTCATAGACCCTTCAAGAAATTAGGTTGATCAATTTGATATTAGGGCCTTGAATTTTAATGATAATGCAAGTACTATTGATTGTAAATCAAAAGTGAGAATGGACACTATTAATGAACACTATACTACAAGATGACTACAAGAAAGGTGAGATTCAAACCAAAATCTTGTATTTCATGACAAGAAAGCAGTTCAAAATTGATACTGTTGCTAGGATCCCTTTCCTCTATATTTAGATTTCAACACACCAAGGGTAAAGGTTTTTCCTAATGATGACAACTCGAGATAGTCCAAAGGCCAGCATAATACTCTGTCTTGCTGCATATTTTGCCTGCTTTGTTGAACAGACATTTCAGGCTTCCTTGAGTTTTGAACTTCTATCATCAAATCCTCAAAATACTCTCCAGACGACCATCATAAACAGCCGAATGTCCTAAAACCAAAGAGAGGGAAGAAGAAATAAGAGAGAGGGAAATAAGCCACAAATAAAATCAAAAGAACACTTGGCACTACAAATCTCCAGCTGTGGAAATTATATACCTGAAGAAGCTGTTGCTCTATCTGTTGTCTTCACCCTTCTATACATCTGAAACACACGGCAAATGATGAGCATGTAAGTAACAATCTTGATTCAATTGAGAGAAATGAAAGATAATCTCATTGTAGAAAACCAAACTTTCTCCACAGAATTATTGAAAAGTATCCAATGCAAGTAAGTACATGTCCTATAATTAAATACAACTCAGCTAGACGGACTAATAAAATACATGGTACAATGCTACACGCATCATGTCATTGATGAAAGAGACTTATTAATTACAACAATCAGATCTCCTCTGGAAGCTACAATGTCAAATGATAGGGATAAAATTAGAATGGGTAGCCTTGGAGGTACAAGAATTAACATATTTTAATTGGTTCTTTCTAATGAAGACTGACCTGATGCATTGCTTTCGAAACTTCCGTCTCCATCAATAACATCCTGCATGTACTGATAAAGAGGCTATGATCACAGAGCTCCATCTTCTAGATACAATTTACAATACTCAAACCAAGAAGAGTAGTAGCCAATAATGTTTTTATGAGATCTTGCAAATGGAGAGAAAAAGTCCACTTTGATCTAAGATGTTCATAGAAATTTTTTTTAAAAAAGAAGTAAAAGTAGTTCATGACCTTAAGCCGTTAATGCATGAACCTCCAAATAGAAATTTTTTTAATGCATCCAAAGCAACAAAAAAGTAACGTTGTAGGATTGTGTAATATTGTGTAAATTACCTCCATAGATTAAAAACTTGATTGCCAGCCCTGTAGATACTCTGACCGTCGAGAAGCATATTTTCACCCATGTATTGACTACAGCGGAATAAATATTTTCATTCTTTGAAACAACAGATGACGAAGTCACCTCAAATTGCCCTATATCTATTTTCCGATTTGCCGAAGGATAGCTTCTACAAGTCCAGGCTCGCCAGGATTCTTAATCTACCTAGTTCACAAAACCCAAATCAAAACTAATAAATAAATGAACTTGATCTTCACGCTCTAGTCTGTAAAGTTGTATAATGAGAAAAGGTTAGTCACATGAATCTCATAGACTTTAAGACCAGCTCTTAAACCGCGACCCTGTTGTCTACAATTTCCAGCTACTAGTACTATTGAAGCTAAATTTGAAGTGGCAGCGTGGGGGAGGGGGAGGGGTGAATGAACAACCTGACTGGAAAAACAACCCGACAACGATTAGGGGGTTTTAAACACCCCCGTGACCGAAACAACGTCAATTTGGTAGTCTGGGATTTTTTAAAAATAAAAAAACCCCAATCAACCACGCAGAGTATAATCCACTCTCATTATTGGTGCAAACTAATTTACAAATAACTATCAATTCATTACTCCAAGACCAACCTTTCCACTGGAAGAAGAGACATTTGAATGTTAGAAGTACCTTTCAAATTTGCAAAATAGTTTTGAGCAGCTCCCCGCCTATGTTTGTGGAACTCCTCTATCATACCCGTCAATTCTGCAAAAAATACCATAAATATTGCAGAAGATATTCAATTCATGTAGTATATATGGATAAATTTTCTTTGAATCAAAAGACTGAAAAAATCACATAGCCTTCACACATGTAGCGTATGAAAGTTACTTCCTTTTAATTCGATTTAATCATCCTAAATAGAAGAACATAACTCATTTGGGTTGTCCCTTTTACAAGTCAAATCCTACTCCCTCAACAATTTGAAAAGCTAGCTGCGTATCCTCAAGTTTCCATCCATATCTAGCACTTAAATTTCTTCCCCTTACTAATGATCACCAGATATCTCAAAATTAAACCATAGATAACTTAAAAAAATCATGGTTTTCCTATTCCATGGTGTTTCAATTCTAATATTTCATCGAGTTGTATTTGATGAAATATTAACAATCCAAACCTAAGCAAAACTACAAAGAACATGTATACCAAAATAGAAAGAGAAAGTAATGTAAAATTTTTAGTCTTGTTCTGGACCATGGTCCGTGATCGATAAAGATTGGAGCCCCAACCTCTTCATGTTGCGTTTCTTTATTTTTGTCTCCCACAGTCTCAAGCTCGACTCATATGGTTATAAAATTGAAGGCATAACAATAGTCAGAATTTCTCCAAACTTGATTCAAAAGTGGCACAAGAGGATACTATCCTAAACTCAAAAACATAATTCTAAACGTTTCAATAATTCTAAATTTATAAAATACTATGGAACTTCACTGAGAAACGGTAAAATTCACATATCTGAAATTTTTTCCACGGAGAACCGGCATAGCCAAATAGGAAGAAGACCCAGGCAGCAATAGAAAGTCTCAATCCAGAACAACAATTAAAGATAGAGTTTCAAGGAATCTGATATATCCATGACCTTCAATCCACATACGATGATTCATGTACCACCGGAGACTGATTCCAGGGAGCTTTTTTGACAACGAATCGAATCGAGTTGGGAGAGAACTCATGATATCATGCCGGGTTGTGGTTTTGGACTTCGCGTTGGAGGTTGTGTCCGGCGATCTCTCGTTCGGTAGCATGCGAGGCAGCAAATATTGATTTTCGAGTATTTATAGATTTATTCTTATCCCAATTAAATTATATGGGCCGATGGGTGCTTGGCGGTGAGTGGTGAATACCAGGGTTTCGTGTGGGGAGAAGTAGTATATAGTTGAGGGAAACACAATACGATGTCGTTCTGTAGACCAGAGTTTTGGAACTTAAACGGTGCCGTTTCCGGGGAAGGGATCCTTTTTTTTTTGGAAAAATCAGGAGGAGATCACCCCAAACTCCAATGGTGGTTCTGGAGATATAAATTGGCATTTTTGTCCTTAATAAGTCGCTGACGTCATATCAAACCCATCCGACGAACAAGATCGATTTGAAGGTGTCCCTCAATATTTCTTTGGTATTTAATTTCTTACATATGGTGCCTTTTATTTAAGTATGAGGATAATATAGTGGTTAAGTATTTGACAGTGTGTAGGATTCTTTTTTTTTTTCGGTGTGTAGGATTCATTTTTTTTTTCAGATGCAGGTGGTCGTGGAGTTATTAGTGAGATTAGTTATACACATGTCAATGATCACCTGTTGTTTCTGGAAACTTGCTCTCCATACTTTCCGCTCTGATGACTGCAAATAATATTGTTGTTTTAGTTCTAAACAAAAATCAATGTAGTACTTATTGTTTTGCATTTAGTATTTACCTTATTGCATGATCTCAGTATTTGAATTATAACGATTCAGATTGTAAATAAGAGCCTTTTAGTCAATTAGATATAGTTTTGTGCTAATTTTTTTCCTTTTGTATTGTTCCTTTTTATCATCCGACATAAGATAGAGTGCAGTTTCATAGTTTTTGAATATGATCTGATGATTTCTCATAGTTTTTAGACTAAACTTATGACATTAGTTTTTTTTTTTCTTTTGCAGTAAGTGGAGTTGTTGGCCTTGTAATTCCTTTTCTATAATCCTTTTTGATGTTACACTGCATCAGTGTGTTACTAAGAGCGCTTAAAATTTGTTCAACATGTAATTTCAAAATATTATAGAATGAGACATTAACATCTTCAACCTATTATCAGACCTTAATATTATCTTCAACAAAATTATCGATATTCATAAAATATATAACAATATCAACAACCATACATATGATCTATCTTGGGATTTTAAATCCCAGAATACGCTCTTTAAAGGTAGTTATCATTCATCAATATTGTTCCCAGTATATCAAGAAAAAAAGTAAAATTTATATCTCAACTTTTTTATCTAGAAAAAAAGATGACATTAATTCTCAAATATAAAACATTCCAACACTTAAAACCTTAAAAACAACATTAATCCAAAAAAACAAAACACAACAATAGCAACAACACAAGAATAGTTATTTCAAGACAAGTTAAACTAATTCAACAACAGAACAACATGATTTGAACGATATGAACCAACAGATATTGATTTCTACGAGTAAGCTCAACGATAGCATCATAACTTCGTTGCACCATAATTGAAGGAAGATGTCGACTGACAAAGGACTTATAGTGTTGGAGGACACTTCTTATTCCTAACATATTTTCTTGCCCACACATGTTTTCTATTGATGCTATACTTAGCCTTTCCACCTTCCACAACCGCATTGACGAATGCTGGTGCACGGGCGACAACCCTCGCAAATAACACCTGTTCATTCTCAGCCACTTGTTGCATATGAATATTTTCAATGAAATCCCCAAATTTCCTAATTACATGAAAATTCATTAGTTTAGAGATTCTTCCCATAATTCACCATTAAAATTTAGGCCTAAGTATACCATAAAATTAATACAGCTTACAGTAAATGCCTATGAAAAAAACATGTTTGTGTCATTTACTAATTACTATGTTGAGATTTTAATCTATACAACTTCTTGAACGTATCCTCAATTTGTGCATAGGGATCAACCAATTTTTAATAAATTTTATTCAACAAATAAGGTTTAATAAGAAGCAGTTTTCAAGTAAGATCAATGTTTCTATTGGTTTCTCATTGCCAAAACAAAAAATCTCTTAAATTTTGCTCCCATTGTCCCAAAATTATTGTCCATTTTAGATTTTCACTTGTAGTTCAATTTGTACTAAAAAATGAAAAGCAAAATTGGACAATAATTCAGGACTGAGGGAGTACATAAATTTAGTTGATATCTGAAGCTAGTGGTAGCATAAATCACCCAGAGTTTGTAACAGCAATTAAGGGAACAACTATATAAAATTCACAGAAAATTGAAAAAGGAACGAATATTAAGAGTATATTAATTTTAAGAATTTACGTACTTGGTGAAGAATTCCTGAACCTCATTTGCTGAAATTGGATAGCCTCTGGAGAAGGTCAAGAAGATTGTCCGTTCATCAGGGGAATCATCTTCGTCCTTAATAAGATTTAGGCTACTTTTGAAGATGTGACTAAAGTCATCAATATTGTCCAAATGCTTGATTTCTAATGGTTCTGTGGTAACGTAGTTGGGCTGGAACATATTTTCACCAGCACAAAAAAAAAAAAAAAAACATGTGGAGCTGCAGTGTTTGTGTTAACCATGAATGTTGATGCATCGATGCTACCTAATCCTGATGATTGAATTTGCATCGCCGACAGGGTAACATAATAAGGATACCAATATTCAAAAGCATGGTTTTCTTGAACTACCTTAGTTGGTTGCCCAATCAGAGGAGTGGGATTTGAGATAATCCCCAATTTGGCGTTTTTACTAAAAAAAGAAACATCGCCATTTTCACCAGTACCTCCCATTGAGGGAATCATTAATTGCATTATCGTTGCCTGATCCTGGACACTATCATGAATTTCTTTGCTAGTCGTTACTACAGTAGTCATCTTGAGTGGAGTAATATTTTTGGTTCCATCATAAGCAACTTCTATATCCTGTCCTTTACTCAGGATGTGTAATGGAGTCTGTGCAGTCCCTTTACCATGATTGTCATAATGGGATGTTACTTTCTTAGTGGTTGAAACGTTAGGTTGACCAATGGACAACCTCCCAGTGGTGGAGGATGTTTCACGGGCGTATTCCTTGAGGATGTCCTTAAAGGCTCTGACACACACTTCCTTTACCATCTTGACAACCCCTTTAATGACCTCAGCACAATTCTCGTAAAAGTACTTGAAAGTAACATTTCTTTGAACCAAAATCGGCATCAAAGCCAAATCAAAGCTATCGGAGAAGGGATATGTGTCACTTGCGACGCATCTCACGCACATAACCGCCTCATTTCACAAATCATTGACCAATTTCATCTGAAAATCCGACATCTTTCTTACTAGAGTCAAGTTATGTACACAACTTCTCGCTCTAGCCAAATCCAGAAACCCATGATTTGTATGGCTTCTTTCGGTTTGCGGCGGCAGTGGCTACCAATCAAACACCTAAACAATGTACGGTCGACGTGATGGAACATATAATACTCCATGTCTGAAAGAGTTACGGGAGAAGGAGGAGAAGAATTATTGCTAGATTGTGAAATTATGGCAAAAGCAGATGACTCCATTTTTCTTATCGCCCACTCCCAATTTATTCTAGTGTAGAATTAAATTTTTCTGATGAATTTGTACACTTGTTAACTCTTATCTGTTACATACTTATATAGAGATGACAAAATTGTTTAAATAGTAGTGGTTGGGAGAAGAGAAATGATGGTATTCTTGGTCCATTTGTCACCATTGCATTAAAATGGTGTGATAAGATGCATCATTTGAACACATTAACGATAATAAGTAATAATCAGATTTCTTATTTGAATGATTTCTTTTAAGCGTTGCACCGTTGTGATTTTCTATTTTTAATACATTACTTTTCTATAGTCAAATGTTTATGATGTATGTATATCTTTGTGGTACTAGTAATCTAGAAAAAGATTAAAAGTAAATCAGAATCATTTCATAAGTTTTTGAATGTCTCTCCTTTGTGTGATAATATATATTAAGTACCATAGTCATCAGATTATAATAATTGTTAGATTTTTTTCTTTTTCTTACATGTCATCAAATTTAGAAATGACAATATATTAAAGGGGGTGAAAGTTAGTGCATCAGATTTCTAGAATGGCTCATCGCTCCCTGTTGTTCTTCTAGATTGGATCCTACTCCTGTTAATAATTATTTTAAACTTTTTATGAAAATATAATTGGTTTAATCTTTTTTATTTTTTAGTTTTGTCAAATGATTAGCAATTTAGTCAAAGATTTTAAGGTCACCAAATGGATGAGAGTCATTATCTAATTAAATTATTTGAACTAGTTTTATGCCCGTGCTTTGCACGGAATTATAGACAAAATTGATTTAAAACTTAAATGTTATTAGTTTGCAACAAGTCGAACCTTGCAATACACAAGCGATTGCATTTTATAAAGTAAAGAAGCTGAAAATGAGAAAATATTGTTCTAACTAATGTAAAAAAAGTCGGAACGAAGAGGTCGAAATAGAATCATATCTAGTGTAACGCTTTCTTGTATACCACATTCTTGGTCCGGTTGCCAAAAACTCTTGTATTTATTGCATATGAGCACTTTCAAACCATTTTTGGACTTAACTCTAGAAAGTGTCACATAAAGTGGTTTGTGAGTAAAGATCGGACGTTGCAAGAAAATGCCAACTTGTGAAAGCGACTGACCCTGACTCTTATTTATTGGCATAGCAGAACATCACTACTAGAAAACCCCCTTATAATTACACTTAGATATGTCTTTATATAGTTAGTATTAATACACTTGACCTATTAAGACATTTTATGGATGTGTCATCTATTCCAATGTAGCAACAAGTATTGTGTGATAAAAGATATATTTTGAAGACACACAAAAGTGTATTAGTAAATACCTTCTAAAGTCACTTAAGAATGTGTTACTATGTATTGTTTAAGGACATTTTGGAATGTCAACTAAGGTTGCGTATTATTACACTCGTTTATAAATTTTTTTTTTTATTTTTTTTCAAAAAAAAGGGTTATTTGAATTGCTAATGTAAATGGAATTAGCTAGTTATTATTATTATTATTATTATTATTATTATTATTATTATTATTATTATTATTCATTTGTCCTTTTTCGAGCAATCACGATTTTTATTAGGGATGTTCACGGATTGGTTCAAACCGGTCAATCCGGCCAATCCGGACCACAATTTGGTTTATTGGGCGGTTTTTATGTTTTGTTAGAAACCGACGGATTTAACAAACCGTAATGAACGGTTTGGCTTACGGTTTAAGGCAAAATTAAACTATTAAAATCGGACCGGACCATAATAGTTTTATTTGTTTAAAATCTTTATATGAATTATTAATATATGTATATACGTACGGTCCTTTGTGACCTTTTTCTTGCATTCTTTTTGTTTATTTTTTCACCCCCAATTTGTCCAAAGCCCGGGTGCTTGACTTTAGGGTGTCTCAAACCCAAAGTTGTAGGAGAAAATAATTCTAGGGTTTTAGAAGTAGACATTTATTTACTTCTCGCGCTTTGAAAACGCGAAAACAAAAAATTAAATTAAAAATTCACGTTTGTGAAACACGAAATCTGTTAATGGAATTAAAAAAATTAAATTATTATTTACACAAATTGATCCGAGAAAAAAGAAAGAAAAAAAAGGAATTAAAAAAGGTAAACAAAAAATAGCGTTTTGAAAACGTGAATATTTTTTTTCGCGTTTCGAAAACGTGAAAATGCTTCAGCGTTTTAAAAATGCGAAAAGCTATATATTTAAAATTAATTTTTAAATTAATTTTATACAATATAGCGTTTTGAAAATAAACCGAATATTGTGTCATTTTAGCGTTTTGAAAACGCGAAAAAAATAGTCTTAGCGTTTTGAAAACGCGAAAGTTAGTTTTAGCGTTTTGAAAACACGAAAATATCCAGAAAATTTCCTCAACCACTCATTTGGCTCTACGTGTATTTTGCTGATAAGATTTGAAAGAATTCGCGTTTTGTACGCGCGAAATTTAAAGTACACATAACAAAATAACAGCATTTCTTCCCAAACCCACCTTATTTCGTTCTGTTGAGCTTCGAATTTGCGTTTCACTTCGGAGGACTTGGCTGAATCCGAGAAAGCTCTAATTTCCTTCAAATTGAGAAGTTTCTCCGAAGTTAAAGAAGATTGATTTGAGTATTGAAGTCAATTTAAAACTCAAAGTTTCAACATTCAGGTTTGTATTTTTCGTTATAGAAAACATGTAAGTTTTTTTATGCTTTATTGTGAGCATAGAATGATTTACGCATTATTATTAGTTCATAAATAATTGTGATTTACTTAATTAATGGTGGATTTTTAATTAGGCTGATAAAGTGAATTGAAAGAAATATTAGTTAATAGAATGTTAAATTAGATGAGCTTTGTAAATTATTGTATATCGATTTCTGTAAAATAAAATAAAATTATAAACATGATATTGAATTTTTGAATATTTTTAGCATAAGAATAAATTACGTAATTCGGGCACAAGGTTTAGATTTAATATTAATTTAAATTCTTTGATTCTAAAATTTGGGTGTGCTGTTATTAAATTAGATGATTCTTGAAATTTATTGTATATTGGTTTATGAAAAAGTTTATAATACCCAGATTGAGTTTTAAAATATTTTTAGCGTAGAAATTAATTTGTAAATTCAGGCGTATAGTTGTTCTTTTGAAATTATTAAATCTGTAAAATGGGGTAAATATTATTTCTGCAAAACTAAAATTTAAAATGTATTCTAGTGTTCTGATTTCGTAGGAATTGATTTTGCAGGCCGTAAATGTCTTTCACGGAGACAGTTCGTCTGAAAGTATACTGAAATACTACTTATACAACTGAACCTGATGGGACTATCACGATGCAGCGTGATGCGCCGGACGGTTATCTTATCATTGATCGTATGTTAGATTTCTCGGAACTTGTTGATAAGGTATGTGGTGTGATGGAAGTTGATAGAGAAGGGCTGTATATTGATTTTTCTTTGGTATAGACGGAGAGATCAGGGAAAAGGTCTCGTGTGCACATTAATGTTGATAATACTTTACGGTTCCTTTATCTTTGTGCTGATAAATGGCCGGAACTGTACCCTAAAAATGTTGAGAGAATAGGCCATGTTTATGCAGTACATCTGGCCAGGATATTGGTGCCAGCACTAGTGGTGGTAGAACAGTTGAAGACAATGAAGATGGAGATGAAGATGAAGATGAAGATGAAGATGTCGGGGGTGTCGAAAGCAGTGATGATGAGTACATCCCATCGGATGAGGACTCAAATGACGACACTGATCTTGAGTCATCTTCTTCAGTACTATATATTTTCGATGACATCAGCGGATGGGACAAGGCTTTAGAGGAAGTAGATTCTAATGGGATTAAAATGTGGGATGACAATCCGTTGACGGTTGACCTTGATGTACATTTTACCTACAAGCCTGAGGCACAGGCAGCAGTGGGAGAATGGAACTTGCTACATGGTCGGACTTTCCAGGTGAAAACGAGCTCTATACGAACATGGTATGTCGAATGCAAGACCTGTGGGCCCAAATATCCGAAAGAGCATCTTCACGGCTATGATTGCCTGTGGAAGGCGCGAGTTTCACTACAGAAGGCCACCGATACTTGGAAAATGGTGGTATGGTCCGATTCCCACAACTGTCTTGGGGCAAACAAGAGAAATGAGTCCCGAAACGTCACGTCTTCTATGATTGCTAGACTGGTTGCCCAAAATGTGCGAAAACATCCAGATTTTGCAGTTGCCCAAATTCAAATAGAAGTTTTGAAGAGGTACCAAGTCGAATGTAGCTACAAGAAGGCATTGCACGGTAGAAGAAAAGCACTTGAGGCTCTGTATGGTACATGGGAAAGTAATTTTCAACAACTGCCCAGCTTCCTTGATGCATTGTTCATGTCAAACCCGGACACCTGTGTGCAATTCAAGTTTAAGGAAAAATCAGGAAGCTCGCAAAAGTTTGTATGTAGGTATGTTTTCTGGGCATTTGGGCCATCTATACAATTATTTCATGCTTGCTGGCCAGTAATAACCATCGATGCCACCCACCTACGAGGATCCTACAAACGAAAACTAATTGTGGCATGCGTGAAGTGTGCAAATGGCACAATTGTTCCCATTGCATTTGCTCTTGTGGACGAAGAGACCATACACGGCTGGAAATGGTTCTTGAAGTATTTGAAAAAGTTTGTTCTATAGGATAGAAAGACCTGTATTATCTCTGATCGAAATCAGGGTATCC